TAGGTTGTCAAGTGTGTGTGTATATATATATATATATATATACACACACACTTGACAACCTATCACGTATACATTTAAACAATCAGTGAATCACAGGTCAAGCTTGCGTCGAGCTCGTCCATAGTACACATCGCACTGCACCCACCACACCATACCGTGCACGTCCCCGACCCCAAAATGCGCCCAGTAATCCAAGACGCCCCCAGCTGAGGATGCCACCCCCCAATCCGCACCGGACCCCATGCCCTGGCCTTGAACCGACCGCAGTAAAGTAAAGAAATAAAAGTGTAAGAGTGCAGGCTTGAGTTTTGAGAGAGCAGAAAGTCCGGGTCTTTCTTGTTTCTGTGTGTCGCGCTCGTGCTCGTGCTCGTGCTCGCTCTCACTCTCGTCCCGGGACTCGACTCTGTGGCGCCTCGGATGGGACTTGAATGGAAGCGAAAGAAGAACGAAAGAGAAAAACAAACGGCGTCGCCATGTTTGTGTTTCCCAAAACAAAGTTCCCTTTCCTGCGCCCCCCTTCCTTTCCCGGAGCTCTAAATCTCTTTTTTTCGGGGGGATTAACTTCATGATATGTTTGTGGAAAGAAGGGGATGGTCCACTTGATTCCCGAGGGCATGTTGAGCGCGGGCAAGTACATTTGAATGTTGCACGCATCTGTAAGGAAGAATTTTGATGGTTCGTATATTGTGAAATATCGATAAGGGGGAAAATAAGGTGTATGCTTGTGTTTGTGACGCTTGCTGCCTCCCAATGAATCTCCGTCTACGCTGGTAGACTTTGTGACAAATGTTGTATGTTCAACATGGCCAATAAAATGGCTGTATAAATCCAGACTGCACTTCGACCATTTCCTTCTGAAACAACTCTTGAAAATCTCCAAATGCCATTGGCTGTTTCCGGAAAGATTACCACGTCTCGGCAATATACTGGCCTGACTTTTTCTTCTCGGCCCAGAAAGCTGTTGCCTCGTCGTGATTCAACTTCCCCTTGCCCTCGGCAACCTCTATGAGGGCGGCCTCTACACCTTCGCCCATGCCTTTGGAACTTCCACACACAAAGACTCGACCATCCAAGGCGTTGATAATGAACCAGACTAGATCAGCCTGTGCGCGGACTTCTTCTTGAACATATCTGCCTTCTCCTTTTCGGGACTGGACCACTTTCTTGACTTGGTCTTCGTGTACGCCCCAATCACCAGAGTAAAGTTCGTCAAGCAGGCTGTCTCGTACACCTTGTAGAACCCAGACTTTATTCGCACAGTTGGCGGACTTCAGTCGTCGATGAACAAATCCACGGAAGGGAGCAATGCCGACTCCAGCTCCGATCAGAAGCATCGGCCCGTCTGAGACAAACTCTCTTGCGAGGGGGTTGGCCATGAGACCTCTGAACATAGGAACGCGAAGGTCAAGATCTTTGGGATTCTTGCCTTCCTTTTCTGCCTGCATGACTTGTCTTGCGAGACGTTCCAGAAATCCAGAGCCAACGCCTGTCCGTTGCCCTTTTGCGTAGTCGTCGGCTTCGTGAACAGTCACTGCGATCTCTATGAGCCGGCGTTTCGTGGTCCCATCTTTCTGATATGAGACCATAGGGTCTTGAGAAAGAGAATAGAACCGAGGCATTAAAGTGTTGAGGACGGTTAGTATTTGATCGAGTGGTGGGCGACTTGAGGGGAATGCCGAGAGTAGTTGAGTCAGGGTCAGGTAAGGGCCTGTCCGTAGGTCACAGAAGGCGGCCTGACCTTGTGCTGAGGAGAGGAACATTAATATCGCCTTCTCGTGTTCATCTTCAGCATATTCTCCAAGGACGCGGAACAACTGCTTCGTTGGTGGATAGCTCTGGATGTCGGAACACCATGTCAGAAGTTCTCTTCTCGTGGTGACAAGCTCTCTGGCGGCCTCGTCTCCCCATATCGTGGGCCATCTTCCATTGGTGGTCTTGAGTAAGATGGGCTTATCCCGTACAAAACTTGGTACACCTAGCAGATTGAAGACCTCGTCGACAATATCGGGAGAATTTGGGGCACAGACTCCAATAGCACCTCCAACCACAAAATCGACATCTCCACTCTCTTTGGGATAATCTGTAACATCAATGTCGAAATGATAGGTTCTCTTTTCGGCTCCGGGCCTCGTCAATTCTTTTGCGTGGAAGAGAGGTGCGGAAAATACTTCGAAGGGTGGGTGAGGCGTCACGAAGTTGGGAGGGTGTTTGAGAACCTCGGGAGCTTTCTTTGAGTTGGGTTCGTACTTGCGTGGAGGAGGAGTGGTTGCGAGGGACTCGAGAGATACGGTCTTGGTGGGCATGTCAACAATTCCTGTCAACTCGCTGTCGAGACTGAAATGACCTAGTTTGATTTTCAAGCTCTTGAAAGCGTCGTTCTCAGGCACTTTGATGGGGTTTTTTGATTCAGGAAGGTTCTTGGACTTGAGCTCCTGAAGCATACAGCAGCCTCCACCACAGCAAGCCTTTTGAATCATGGAGGTTGCGGCACCACGCTCGCCCAGAAATCGGCGTGCATCTTCGGAGTCTTGAGATACCAACAGCGTCGAGGCACGTCGTTTTCTGCCCGTAGGCTCGGCCTTCGGTATTTCATGGAGGTCGTCTAGTGAATCATCGGATTGACTGTCGGTTGGGGTGGAAGGTCTGGTGTCGATGCTGGAGGCATCATCGGAAAAGGTATGGGTGTTGACAGTGGACAAGGGCGGAGAATGACTGAGCTGCGAGGCACTGATTGACAACTTTCTTGTTTGGGCAGGTTCTTCAGGTATGGGATCATTAGGATGTGAAGTGTCTGTCACTGGCAGAGGGTTCGATGTGGCGAGAGGATCTGAGGGTCGCATGGTGAGAATGGTGGTAGCAGATCCTGATTGTGAATGCATGTTAGCTGGTGTGAATGTGGCAAGTAGGCAAGAAGATCATGTCGAAGGCAAGGGCAAGGAGATGCAATATTCATATCGGGTGGCATCGAGGTGGATTTGACAGCATTATGGAATGATTTGAAGTGGTGGAAGGTCACCGGTCTCCAAGGCGGGTGTCGGGTGCGGGACCAAAAAACTTACGGAGGGTGCTCGTGGTGATGATGTAACAATGTGCGGAACCAGACCTTTTCCTCGGGGGAGGGCACCTAGCCCAGAGTGACCGAGCGGCACTGCCCAACCCTGCCCTGACTGCCCACAACACCCGGCTCGGAGGAGGAGGCACCTTTGCCTTGAAGAACAGCCGAAAGCCAGGCCTGGCGGCTAAAGATATCTCTCACGTGTGGGATGGAACTTGTAGCTGGCTGGAGAACTTTGTGAAGCACGCGTGAACTGCTGTTGATGAAGAGCAAGCACCAAGGACGGGATTCTGAGCAGCAGTACGTGAGAATGCGTAAACGGTATTGCAATTGCAGGCTTCGAGTTCGACGAGAACAATCGGCCTCGCAGGACCTTTTTGGTGGGTGATTGGGGAAAGAACGGGCGTGGACGGGGGAAAGAATAACACAGATCAGATAAAAGATAATCTTGGAGTGAAAGTGCCGAGGGTAGAAAAGCCGGAAAGTTGAATGCGGCCAAGCAGTTGTGGTACGATTTATCAGATTGGAGAAGTCAACCTGGAATGGGAATCTTTTTGCAATATTAATGAACGACCCGCGTGTTACCCGCCAATATTGTTGACTCCAAAAGATGGGCTGATCCCTTGGTTAATAATGGACTGATGCAGTAGTGATCCCGCCACTCGGCTTCATCCACAATTCCTTTTCCTTTTGGTTGATCTCTTTCTCACCCTGACTCTAGCTCTCCTCTCCACATCCATTTCGGAGTTCTGCTTCTTGTCGTTAGGAAGATTCCACAACGATCGACGAACCTGACTGGCGTGTGCGATCTCGGCCACTGCAATGTCCAAAGCCATGTTGGTTCGAGAATCAGCCTCAAGGGTGGATATCTCTGTCCAAGACCAATTGATGGCTTCCACATGTACGCTACATAGAGTATGAATTCTGTAGATTGGAAACGTCGTACAAATCGGATAAGATATGATTGATAGCCACATCTTGGTCATCATGTTGGTACAGAACATACCTACTCGTACGCGAAGCTCGGTTTGCTTTTGGGATTTGATGCTTGCTTTGGGCCGTAGGATCCCGCGGGAATTGTTCCGGTGCTCGCCGGCTGTTCTTGACACCTGCAAGGAACTGCCTTTGCCGACCTCAGGCTGTCATTCCAGTCTGCATTGGGCTTGTCGAACCGGCATTTTTGTTCGTAGTCGTCCTTTATTGTTACCACATTCTAAGATGCTTTTCTTGCAACTGAAACCAAGTTGAAAGCCCTGTTAAAATCTCATCTAGATTGTAGCTCTCTCCCTCCCCCGCCTGACATGCAACCTCGCGATTCGCGAACGTTTGCGACACGTATAGCCCCGTTGAAAGTGATTTCTAACCATGCCGGCCTCCGATTGCGGCGACCTGCATTACCACCGTCGTAGCCAACAAGAGGCAACAGGAAGTCTGTCATCATCGCCTTGGAGGGCTAGGATGAAGATCCTGTTCCCCGGCACCATGAGCCAACAAAAGAGTGTGCCAAGCCCAAGCCGACTTCCCCCTCCAAATCAGCCCCACCGTGCACCTTTTGGAAAACCGGAAATCTTTTGATCCATCTAATCTTATCCAATCTCATCGTGGCCCCTCAATAGGAGATCTGATCTAATCAGATTAATTCGCGCATGCACAGTTCGAACTACAGTATTTCTCGGTCTTGGCAATCTCAGCTGAAGCCCCGACCGAGGTGCTCCGAAGCAGACTACTATTGGTCCTTGATCAACACCGCTCTTTGATGCTCGGGCTTCGTCTAAGATGATTCTTCTAGGGCGATCTCAGTCGTCCAGACTGCTGGGACGACATGCTGAAACACCATCAAAGATGCACTGGCGCCGAGTGATTCCACGCATTGTGGAACGCGTCCTCGTACACACAGTATATTTCCTATGTCTCTACGTCTGGATCTCTGGTAGTATCGCTCTCGTGTTCGAAGTTTCCTGTCCCCTGTGCTGTGTCCATACCAATTCCGACGACAAGAAGCGAGCCAGACAAGGACTCGATCAGCCGTCATGAGTGAGTCGAAACAAATCTCCGTTGGGGCAAAGACTCCGACCTCGCGTGATTTCGTGGTTAAGCGAAATGGTTCGACAAGGGGGGACGACGCCGCTTGAGCCGAGCTCCCCCCGGCCCCTGATTCAGGCAGCCTTTCGTGCAATAATAATGGGTCGACCTATTATTGTTATTATTATTCAGGGCTGAAGATTCCGACTGGAATCCTGGAGTCTCAGAAGGCTCAAAACTCAAAACTCAATAGTAAACTCTCCAGTATTCAGATGTGATTTCTAGAGATGAAACCCGGATCTCTGAGTCAAGGCCGACTTCTCCCTAGATTGTCTCCTTCATGAGGTCGAGATTGGCGACTGCTGTCAGCGCAGGGCCCGAAAGGCTCCGGAAATGCTTCTTCCCTTATACGTGCTTAAGCCAGAATATTCCGGTTGCTTAGGAGCCTGTCGGGTGATAAGGAGCAAAAATTAATCTTCCGTCCACGTACGTCGACCCCCTGGACGGATCGGGGCAAGGCTGAGTCTGGGCATATAATATCGCTGGCCCAAAGTCGTGACTCGTCAAGAGTTCCTCCCCACCGATATCTCGCAAACGTACCAGTAGCCTGACTAGACTCTCGCCCACATGACATATTTAGGCATTGGATTCCTAGTAATCACTGAGTTTAAGCTGATTCCCTGCCTTGGAACTCTTTTGACGGAGAAGTGAGGTGACTACTCCGCGATGACAAGCACTTTGGTTTGGGGCAGTGGTTGAGATGATACACTGGATGTTGATACTCGAAGACCCGCCCTCAGTTGTTCCGCAACCCTTCTTTTCGTGGACCGGCAGCTCACGCGGGTTGAGCCAATGAGATTTCTGGCATGCTCAGGAACTGATGCCTTCCAATTGTGTGTGGTAACACGGCCCATGGCCTGATCGAGCGGTGAAATTGGAACCATACTTGTGAAGAAAAGGCTGCTTTGCTTGAACTGGGGCCATTGAATGTGCCCGCCAATCCTGTCTTCTAAAGGTGCAATTAGAAAGGAATATCCTTATGACAGCCTCCCAACTCTTTAGCACGGTAGGATTGGACCGAGAAGAATCAATTGCCCATGCTTGCAAAAGTCAGCACATCATATCTAAGATCTCACCTTTGCATTGTGTTGTTGTCAATCAACATCTAGGTGTCCGCACAGAGAGAATTTGGAATATCTTCGAGCACATAAGCATATAGTCAAACTGCTCAAACGGCGTCGTTTTCTCCCACGATTCAGTGCACATATCGGGCCCACGAGTGCACAGCTATGCGAGCCACGTAGCTTCAACCACTCGTTCATCAGACTACTCGCTGTCATGGTCAAACAAACACGACTGAGTCCATTGGGTGCAGTGGTCACGATCAGGGGAGGCTGAAGGCCCTAGAAAGACTCATCACACTGCTACGGCTGATCGGACAATGGGCGGCAAGATCGGGTAAAAAGACCTAGAACAATGCCCCTGCCGTTGTTGTGTTTGTTTGCACAAACGTCCTCGACTCGAGGTCTTGCACACGACTTCGTAAGTCGCAGTACTTAAAGCCTGCATCCCATTGCTCGAGACTTCGATTTGTTGCTTGGGGGCGAAAAAAAGACTTCTTCGTCTCACTCTGACCGCTTTGCACTTCAAAATCAGCGACAAGGTTGACCATGCTTCGGTGTGGTGAAAACCGTCATCGACGGACTTTTGCGCAACGTGCATGACCAGAGAACCTTGTTATGCCTTCGACCACTTCACCCTGTCGTTGAGCTGGAGTCTCCTCCCGACTCGGAACCGCAAACCTGCAAAGCCCAGTGCAAGTGATGAGAAGTTGTTGGACAAGCGAGTCCAGAATCTTTACATTGGTCTCGCAGGGGGGGGGGTGATGGAAACGTCTTCCTTAAGCTCTTTGTGCTTGTCTCGTACGATCGAGAGGTAGAGTTTTAGATTAGGTCACCATGGTGCAGCTGTATCCATGTAAGATCGTGGTCCATAGTGCAATAATCTCCATACAGTGCCATAGCCACAGCAGCTTGGTGTCTTGATAAAATTGATGTTGTCTTTACACGTGGTATTCCTGAAGTCGGATGGCTGTTTCCACAATACGGTGGGAGAAGAGTCAGGTACCTCTCTGCCGAAGCCCAAACCTATCGCTGGAGATATCCTCCTTTCATCACGAAGAAAATCAACCCGAACCTTCTCGCATACGCAGGGAGGGCCATGTAATCACTGGAAGGCCGAAGACGGACTCGCTCGTGACGCGGGAGACGAGGAGACGTAATCATGATGCGGACACCCGCGAAGAGAGCGAGGTTTGGGCTTCCAAAGCACCAGCGCACCTTCGTTTCTCGGCATGATACTGACTGCGGTTGTGGTGTTGTGTTGCCAAAGAGGGGGGATATGACCTGTCATATGCAACTTCTCATGAAAGGCATCTTCCGGAGAGCCAGCCGCCCCCTACTGTTGACTAGTGTATGAGTCTGGTGGGGGCGGTGCACTGGACGGGCCACCAGCCTCCAGATCGACATGTCACTCGAAAAAGCCAATCGTGAAGAACGATTTACAAGGGTACTTTCTAACCCTAAACACGCATGGCAGCTGTCAGTTTGAGGGAACCTGATCGAGCACAAATCCGGCAACGCTGGTGTCAAACACGAGCCTCAGAGCTGCAGAAGGGGCTTGTGGGAGGAGGCCCCGACTGGATTGTGATGGTCCCCAATGTATCCTCCGAAAGGCCAGACAACTGCACCCCAGGCCTGGATCTACGCTCTTTTAAGAATTCATGTTCCATGCGGAGCGCGG